ATTTTACCAACTGTAGGACTAGATACATATTATGTATAACAGTTGGTAAAATGTCTTGTACATAATATGTATCTAGTCCTACAGTTGGTAAAATGTCTTGTAGATAATATGTGTCTAGTCCTACAGTTGGTAAAATGTCTTGTACATAATATGTGTCTAGTCCTACAGTTGGTAAAATGTCGTTGTACATAATATGTGTCTAGTCCTACAGTTGGTAAAATGTGTTGTACATAATATGTATCTAGTCCTACAGTTGGTAAAATGTGTAGGACTCGACACATATTATGTACAAGACATTTTACCAACTGCAAGACTAGATACGTATGGTGTACAGCACGTTTTACCAGCTACAGGACTAAGATACACGAGTTTTATGCCAGAGTGAACATACTTTGTATCAGTGTATTCAATAGTTTGACATTGTATCCAGCATGTTTACAGTGTATTCAGTGGTTTGACATTTTATCCATCATGCTGTAATATTGACATTGTATCAAGCATGTTGACAATGTATTCAGTAGTTTGACATTGTATCCAGCATGTTTACAGTGTATTTAGTGGTTTGACATTTTATCCATCATGCTGTAATATTGACATTGTATACAGCATGTTTACAGTGTATTCAGTAGTTTGACATTATATCAAGCATGTTGACAGTATATTGAGCAAGTCGACAGCATTTGGTGTGGAATGTTTTTCCTTTTTCTTTGTTTTAATTCTGTTGTACGACGTTTCGAAGCCTATACAGAGGTGTGATCGAGGACTATTAGAATAGCTTAAAAAAATACAAAGAACATTTCAATGTAAACATTTCCGCGATCGTTAACCTACATAGCATCACGCGCGTGTTGCGAAACACCCACTGTTTCTTAACGGAACGTAGGGCTCAATGTTTTAGTGTAGGAAGACGACCGGTAGGCGGAGCTCATAAATCACAGTACAGTGATTTTCAACTTCATCGGGGTAGAAAATTCAAATTGATTGATGAGCTAGTTGTAGTCTGTACATGAAATATACACACAACAATTTGAAGAGCGAATACGTTATAAATACATTTAAACGAAACACGTTTATGCTATCGTGTAACACAGTGACGTCACTGAGAGTATTGTTACGACTTTATATTAACACTGATCAAGCTCACGATAGCATAATGTATAGCACAAATTAACTCATTGTTCTCACGTGAAGGTATTGTTAACACATTTTAACAAATTTCAAGTTTTCCTACTACTTTCGCTTCGAATGTTGTTAACTTCGTGACAATTGTTTAACAGTTTTCTTTACGGTAACTGTTGGAAATTGTATATTAACATACACCTCCAAGATGTTTGTTAACACATCTTATGTTAACACACGTTAAACACTGTTCTAGAATAGTCGTTTCAACATCTTATTTATAGTTATAAATTCCAGAAAATTAAATCAGCCGATGTTACGAAGATATATCATCTGAATACTACTACACATTTCTCATTAATTCAGTTTATATATATATTTCCTGAGGATTTTGTGTGTGGATCGTCCTTGTGAATGTGAAATATCAAAGAAAATACAGCGCTTTGAAATAGATAAATTTATTTAATTCTCACGAAATCTGTTAACACTTTATGAGAATCAATTGTGCAGCTTTTCGATGTGAGAAATTGGAAAACCTTTTACTTCCTTGAAACTGAGTAACCTGAAGATATTTCTAACGTGTCTGTTGCTTGTTTTGTTGTTAAGTGCAAAGCAACACAGTGAGCTATCTGCACTGTGCCCACAGTTGAGGTTCGAACTCCGAATGTTAGCGTTATCAGCCTTTAAGTCACGTATGAAAGACGTTTATAATTCACAAAATAAAGGCATCTAAGGCTCGAGTGTACAACCTACGTGCACATAGATATATTTATAGATTAATTATCGAAAATATTAACGGAGGATTATTTGTAAGGTACGTGCTGTATCCATTCCCACGCGGCGCGAGGTCAGGGGTAACTAGCGTTCATCTACCTCCTTCAGTGAACAGTTGTAAGTTAAAACTTCACTATTAAAGAATGTTAACCACGGAGAGATTTGATGAAGCTTTTAGTCCTATTTCCTTACTTTGGAGATCATGCTGAACAGGTTTTATATTTGGAGTTATTTATGGTTTGGTGCTATCTTTATCCCTTGCGATTAATATCGGATTGACCTATTTTCATCCTTTGTAATTACAATTGTGTCCTGCAGGGGGAAGTGAGTCTGAACGTATGAGCATACCTGTCCACTATGCTGATTTGGTTAGTCTTACCCTAACCTCTGTTTCCGAATTACGATTTTTAACCGATAAATTCCGAGTTCTGGTCGTTTATTTACCATATTTTTGTAACACTGTTAAAACATCGTCTTAGTGTATTAAAAGAAAAAAGCATAGTAGATACTCGGATTAGACCTAAATACCCGAAGCCATGATCGTGAGTATACGCGATGCACGACGTGTTCCGAAGACTTGGCATTGTTGTTATTACCAGTAAGTTACTCAAATTGAAATGTAAATCCAATGATCAGTTGTTGGAGACCCCAGTGAGTTAGCAGTATGTTTGAAGACTTATAAAGGTAAATATTGGGTTTCGATACCCGTGGTGGGCACAGCACAGATAGCCCATTATTTAGCTTTGTGCCTAAAAACAAACAGTTGTTGGAATTATTATTTTTTATAATTCGTTCTCATGGATGTATGATACATCTTTTACCCACTAAAATCATTACAACTTAATGAAAAGAATAAACAAAATGGAGAGGGACGTCCCCGGACCCCCTAGCAGGGTTTCACAATATTGCCAATTGCTGAAACGCTGTTGGCATTTATTGATTAAACTTTTTTTTCGTTTAATAGTTAGGAGGTAAGGATATGGTTGGCAGTGTAACAGTGAATTTACTGCCCTCGGTATTACACTATTCGTTCAGAAACATATCATACCAATCTTAAAAACTCCCATCCTTGATGTTAGGAAAAACGTAGGTTAAAAAAATCAATAAAAGACGAAAAGACGAAACCATATAACCTGAGCGCTTTTGGAAGCTGGACAGTTCTTCATCAGGGGCAAACTGTTCACCTTTTTAAAACACCCTGTTTATATGGTTTCGCATTTTTATCTTAACATTATTATGCTGAAAGTTGACATCTGTGATGAGTTCTTATGGGTAGCAATAACAACACCTAAATAAATATCATTAGAGGCTTTTTAGGCCTAACAAAAGTGGTAAAAGCATGCTTGATTATCAAAATTTCGAGGATTTTAGGCTTAACAAAAAAGTGGTAAAAGCATGCTTGATTATCAAAACTTCGAGGCTTTTAGGCTTAACAAAAGTAGTAAAAGCATGCTTGATTATCAAAACTTCGAGGCTTTTAGGCTTAACAAAAGTAGTAAAAGCATGCTTGATTATCAAAACTTCGAGGTTTTAGGCTTAACAAAAGTGGTAAGATCATGCTTGTTATCAAAACGTCGAGGCTTTTAGGCCTAACAAAAATGGTGAAATCATGTTTTTTGCGAACATAACACGAATCGGCATTACCATTTTTTATACACTTCTGATTAGGGATCTTAAAAGAAACCCAAAAAAACACTAATACAGAGGAAGCGCGCATCCGGTTTCTCCTCAAGGAATCCGTTTTTCTGTGGTTTAAGATGGCGAAATTTTGGATTCACATGTTGTACAGTTAGTTCAGAGCTAACTGGAAACCACCCACCTTTGTCAAGCGGGTGGTCTGAATAATTATTACAGTAACCGATGGCTTTTAAATCACCTGTAAAGTTACTGGAAAAAAATAATTAGAAAATTGCAATTCGACAAGTAAAAAAAAAGAAGAAAACTAAGTGAACTAGTCCGTTACTATAGTTACTCAGCTTATGTATATCTCAGTTAAAATGTCTGATCGCAAACTTTTCATTTGTAGAAATGTTTAAATCTTTTTTCTTTTTTTTCATTATCGCGACCAGGTGGTTTGAGAAGATAATTTTTATTTTAAATCTTTTGGTGTTTTGGTAGAAGAAGAAAAAAGATATTTGTAAAAAGACAACGTCAACACAAATTTCCATGCTTACATTAAAATTGTGGCAATTGTTGTCAGGGTTAGTAGGCGAGACAACTTTCTTAACTCGTATTATTAATTAGTGGATTGTACACCAGCCTATCAAGCAGACACAGGATCAAACCCCGACTCTTTACAGGACTTCCCTGAAGACGGTAGTAGAAACGAGGATAAAAACTACTAGAAATAATGTCTAGTAATAAAAAGTAACCATTTAGTAATTAGGCTTAGGCATTGTATGACAACGAACAAAATTACTCTGTTGCTGTTCAAAAGTAGTCTTAACGGGATTGAGATTCATACTTGAATTATAATCTTACATCTTATTACAGGATGTGTGTATGTACATTTTATTCTTCAGATCTATAGATAGTCTGTGTATCTGTCTGTACCAATTTCTGTGTTTAAACGTTAATCTATAGGTCCTAGTATGTGTGTGTCTGTCTGTACCAGTGTCTGTGTTTAAACGTTAATCTACAGGTCGTAGTCTTGTCTGTGTGTACCAAGGTTTGTGTATTAATCTCTAGTATAGTCTGTGTGTACCAGTGTTTGTGTATTAATCTCTAGTATAGTCTGTGTGTACCAGAATTTGTGTATTAATCTCTAGTATAGTCTGTGTGTACCAGAATTTGTGTATTAATCTCTAGTATAGTCTGTGTGTACCAGAATTTGTGTATTAATCTCTAGTATAGTCTGTGTGTCTAAGTTTAAAGGTCAATAAACTGTGTTCGTCTGGTTGAATAACGGTCTATATATAACATCATCTACTCGGACAGGTTCGCCAAGTAGTTCGGAAAGTTTATAAAAACAATGTAATAGTTTTGACCTTAGAGCATCTATACATATCGAACCACAACTTGTTGGATTAACATAAACCTTAAAGAATTCCAGGGCATTATATGATACTGTTATGCAACTTAAAAACATAGCCATGAATAGGCCTTACCAGACATGGTAGGTGGTTTAGAAGGTAACACAGGCACGATACGACCTCTACAGCGGTCCATCGGAAGTCAGAACTCGTCTGCTCGGGGTTGTAGGGCCGGCGGGACTCTTGCCGACCAGGGCTATGCAGTGGCCGCGTGCTTTCACTGGAGTTGCTCGTGACGCTGCTACTGGTAGCTGTTCCTGTAGAGTTCTCGGGTCCAATTGACGGATCAGGAAAGTGTAGTTTGCGGTGGCGAGTCCGGCAGTGATTCACCTCCAAGTCGAAGCAACAAACCAGCACAGTTATCATTAGAACACTGTGGAGACAGATGTTGAAGATAGAAAACCTGTAGTCCCACCCCAGAGGGTGGACAGAACAATGGTACTGTTGGAGTTCATCGGGGGAACGAGCAAATACAGCCGCGACACCAACAATCACAGCGATAACGGCAGTCACTGCTATATGATATCTGATTTGATTTCTACGGACACTGAAGCGATATTTGTATGGCCAGCGAATGGTCAAAGCTCTGTCCACTACAAGAGAAGCTAGTGTAAAGATTTGAAATGTTCGAGTTGCGGTCAAGCCCCATAATATAAAACTACAAGCGGGACCAACTCTTGGACTGAAGAGGTTCAGGATAGCAAAGCCAAAGGCGTAAAGAGCGGTCACTAATTCTTGTGTGCCAACGGCCAGTAAAAACAAATCCACCGTTCGCCAGTGTCGCCTATATGTGTGGAAGATGTACACCGTCCATAAGGATAAGACAGCCACCAGGGGTGCGCAGGCCGACGCCGCCAACCAACTATAGGACACGGACTTCATAGACGAATTGTTAGATCTTTGATTTTCTTAAGCGCAGCATGTCGAACATCCAGGCAAATAATACGTTGAATATTAAGTACACCAACTCAGCCGCTGACAGAAAAAACACCGAATATATCCACACACACACGAACAACTTGGCCGAGTTTAAATGTAAGCAGCTACAGGTGTCACTTTAGAACTTGTTTCTTCAACCGCCGCTAGCTGGTGTGCCTACTACCTGGTCAAATTACCACAACTAATATTTTGAGGTCACTGCCGTCGCTGGAAAATTTGCTATCCGCACGGAAATGGCCCAGTCACCGGAAACCGAACTTGGAACAAACGGTTTCACGGGTAATCATGTATTTTCTCCTCCTCTGCAGGTTTTTTGTTATTTTCCATCAGGTTTAATGAAAGAAAGGACAAGTTGTGTGGCTTGTATTTTAAAGAACTGAACAACAAAAACCTTATCCTACACAGTGTTGTACAAAAACACTCGTTCATTGTTCAGTTCATGGTGTAAAAACCTTATCCTGCACAGTATTGTACAAAAACACTCGTTCACACCATGAACTGAACAATAAAAACCTTATTTATCCTACAATGCTTACTATACATCTACAACTAGGTGACGTCATGAAAACTTGGTGTATACTGAATCTGGTTTACAGTGATTAATCAAACTTAAATAATTTCACATTTTCTTCACCAACTAAACAAACCCACGTAGATTTAAAATGTCAACAAATTTCAAATAACAAGCACGTGATATTTTATCCTTTGAGATTCTGTATCCTAATATCCATTGCGTAACGTTGGTCACGTACTCCCAAATTCTGCCTATACAGATAGTTCCTATGTGGATGTGACTTCACTGTAGGTATTGTACAATTTTCCCTATACAATCCACTGTGCGTTACCCATCAACACCCAGTATGGAAAACCAGATCCTCCACTTTCAGATAAATGTTCCGTCCACGCACTCCGCGCGCTCTACACTGTGAAACGGAACACTTAGTTTGAAAACATCACCGTGACGTGAAGCGGATCACGTGACTTGCTAAACCAGTTTGTTCACACACCCAGCTTTTTACGCCTCTCATCCCCGTTACTCGGGTCTGGAGGTTTTGCTATACTATTCACCTGAAATAAGAAATTTCCTCCAGAGCGCGTGCCGATTTATATTCCATATTATGAGCTCTAAATAGATTTTAGTAAAAAACAAAATAAAGTGTTTGATCTGGAATAAAGGTTTCCCACGGATATTTTGCTGTTTCGAGTTAGTAAAATAGGAAGAAGGTCCAGATGGTGGGTAGAACATGTTAGTTGGAATAGTTTATAAAGTCAGATCTGGTGAATTGTGTTACCTTCTTTTCAATACAGCATCAGATATATTAAGATAGGACGTGTAAAAATGAGAGCATTTAAACAGAGAGAAACTGGTTCATTTTACAAGAAGTTTATGTCTGAAGTTCTTTCCTTTTGTGATTGAATTAATTCAAGTGTTTTGTGCGCGTGCTTAGTAATATTTAATTAAACTTTACTTACTGATCTCTTAGTTTGATCAACTACAACTTTGGGATGTGAGAGTGTCAAACGATCCATATCTAGACACAATTAGGCTTAACACTTAAACATTTAGGCTTAGCTGTTATTGGCTTTGCGAGAATTATGCAGTCAGATAATGATGTCAGAAAACAGATTTCTTAGAAACGACCGCAGACAAGAAAAATAGTTCGACACCGAAATTCGCAACCCTTCCATCAAAAAATAATAACCAAAACAACGCGTTCATTGTGATTGATTGTAATACTCCCCAGGCAATAAATATCTGTTTACTGGTGCGTAACAGTGCAATCAGGGGCCGTTCAAATGTTACACATCTTCACTCCTGACCTTCCCCAAGTTCACGTAAAAGTGACGTAAGAGCAGTCACGTGATCAAAATGTTTCGGATAAAGTTAATTCGAATTATACCTGATACACGAGCTTTAATATATTATTATATCAAAAAAGTTCTGAGCTGCGAAGTTTTCGTTTCTTTTCTGTTTTCATCATATTTGTATTACAGATACAACTACAAGATGGGGGGGGGGGTTACGAAATTAAAGTCCTAAAAGTGAATTTACATTTACATCTGTCACTAGGTAATGAAACTCTT